GGGTCCGAGACACTTTCGCCAAGCTGTACTCTCTGGGGACGGTCCTCCAAGAAGGAATGGAGGCAGGCATACACCAAGCCACCAATTTCCAGCTCAGAGAGCCTCCCTAGGAGGATACTGTGGTCGACGGTATCGAAGGCCGCTGAGATGTCGAGGAGGACCAACAGAGACACTTTGCCCCTGTCAGCCTCCCTCAGCAGGTCATCGTACAGGGTGACCAGTGCCGTTTCTGTACCATGGCACGGCCTGAAGCCCGACTGAAATGGGTCCAGGGTGTCTGTTTCATCCAAGTGCGCCTGGACCTGGTCAGCCACCACCCTGTCGACCACTTTGCTAATGAAAGAAACATTGGTGACGGGCCTATAGTTGCCAATTTCGTCCACTGCCAAACTAGGTTTCTTCCTTATGGGCCTAATGAATGTCTCCTTGAGGGCTGAAGGAACTCTGCCCTCAAGGAAAGACCCATTAATTATTACAGTGGCCCATTCCATTGTTATAGGCCTGGCTGCTTTGATTAGCCAGGCCGGGCAAGGGTCAAGGGAGGAGGTGGTGGCACAGCAGCGATCAAGCGCCTTGTCCACAGTGTCCGGAGACACAGGCTGAAAGCAATCAAAAGTCACTGGCAAGAGTGACATCTCAGTTTAACACACAAAATGATATTCTTGTCTCTGCCTTGAGGATAACAGCCAAGTATCATGATCTCAATTACTGATACAGATTGGGCTGAAAAGTGTGGTGGTTTGTTTTGCCATTTGAGGCTTAAACAATATTCTCTGTTATAAACTGGGATGTGCTTAAATAAATTAGAAAATACATCAGACTGACTTCATAGCACAGCACATTCTGATGTGACATCAAGTTCTCTCATATTTGAAAGCTGCAGGTTGAGCTAAATTATATTTGGCAGGTTTGCTAAGCATCTTTTTATAGAAATTACATCATTCAGCTATTACTAGTATCCTGTAACTTTAATTTTTAAAAACATGTCATGGATCTCAGCCAGTTTCTTAAATAGAAAACTTTTAGTAGAGCTATTATTCAGTTTATGAGTGCTGAACAGCGTCTTTATACACATATCCAACTTTTGATGCCAAATATATAAATATCCAAATCCCCTTTGTATGTTGAAAAGGTATAAAGGTAGAGCATTATTGCATACTTACTATTCTCTGACTGTAGTAAGATTATATTACTGATTTGTCTGTGACCTTGATCAGATGCCTATGTGAGTTTAAATCTTTCAAAAGTGAACTATTTTCATTCTTGGAAACTAGAGTTTGTGGGTAGAAGCATTTGATGGGTAAATGCATTTGATTGGCCCAGTATTGAAAATAGTTTTCAAACTAATTCAATCAACAAAACAGTATTTTTCAGGATTGTGAAATTTACAAATGAGTCTGAGAACTGTTGTTCTTGTTGTTTAGTCATTAAGTCGTGTCCTACTCTTTGTGACCCCATGGACCAGAGCACGCCAGGCCCTCCTGTCTTCCTCGGCTCCCGGAGTTGGGTCAAATTCATGTTGGTAGCTTTGATGACACTGTCCAACTATCTAGTCCTCTGTTGTCCCCTTCTCCTCTTGCCTTCACAATTTCCTAACATCAGGGTCTTTTCCAGGGAATCTTCTCTTCTCATGAGATAACCAAAGTATTAGAGCCTCAGCTTCAGGATCTGTCCTTCCAATGAGCACTCAGGGTCGATTTCCTTTAGAATTGATAGGTTTGTTCTCCTTGCTGTCCAGGGGACTCTCAAGAGTTTCCTCCAGCACCACAATTCAAAAGAACTGTAGCATTGCATATAATGCTCAATTTCTAAAATCTTTCTCACTAGCATATTTAGACTGAAAAAAGAAATCCAGTATGAAAAAAGATAGAACATTTCCTCATTTTAAAAAAATTAAAATGAAAATTGGGAATATCCCATGGGTCCTTTCTCTACAAATTTCAGAAGTACCACTGTGAGGTGGTGCAAACATCATTGGATGGGTTTGACTATATGACTTGGACAGTGGCCTTCAAGTAGCCACCAACAACAAAAGGGCCCTTGCTAGGGCAAAGATAATCATAGACTCTAGGAGCATAGAGCAGTGGTCACCAAACCTTGGGCCTCCAGATGTTCTTGGACTGCAACTTCCAGCAGCCTTCACCACCACCTCTGCTGGCCAGGATTTCTGGGAGTTGGTCCAAGAACATCTGGAGGCCCAAGGTTGGGGACCACTGGCGTAGAGGACTTGTCAGTATCTAAAGAGTGTGTCAGCCCTGCCAAACTCATGTTATGATATACTTTGTATTGAAGAAATTCATAGAAACAGCCATCAATGATGCCCTGAAATATCCGGGACAAGACTTGCAGCTGAGAGACCACGTAGACATCACTGAAACACTAATCTAGCTAAGCCTGACCTCCAAATATTGTCTACTGCTGTAACAAAACAGGATGGTATAGAGATAATAACAGTGGAGCTACGTAATTGCACACTATCCTCCATTTATAAACCACCTAATTGCAACCTCTTCCTTTAAAACCTCAGACAATTTTCATAAGTAAAAAATAAATTTTATATTCAGAGATTTCAGTTGCCACAGCAGTATATGCACTTGATGACAACAATGGAGTTGTGCTAAAATGGTTGGAAACATCTCAACTAGCCCGGATTCTCAATGGCATGGCAAACTTCCATAATTTTTCGACAGAATGAAAAATGGTGGCAACATGGTTGGGATTCTGGAAAAAAAAGCCTGAAACATGAACAGTTTTCTTTCTTAAATCTACAGTAGTTGCTACGTATATAGCTTGAGAGAATTTCCAAGGTAATCCCATTTGGGGTGGAAGGATTTTTGCCCCTATGTATACTATTCCAACCCCTCATTCTCTGTTGTGCCTGGCTATCACCTGACTATTAAGCGTAAAAAAAGGTCTGTTGCTTACAATGGCTGTGTCTTTTCCTATACTGTACATTGTTGTCTTGAAGGGCAGTTTTTCCTCCTGCAGCAAGGAGAGAGAGAGAGAGAGAGAGAGAGAGAGACGGAAGGAGGACAGACCTTCTAGGAGAACAATAATCTGAGAAGGTTGTTCTTTTCTAGATACTGTACCCTAAGTGCAAATTAGATCCTGTTCTTTAGTGTGTGTTGGGGGTGCATAGTCTTCTTTATACTTGAATTTTTGGAAGACAGAGGTTGGGGGTGCATAGTCTTCTTTATACTTGGATTTTGGGAAGCTCAGTGGTTAGAGTATCTGGCTGTGGAGCCAGAGATTGAGAGTTCGATTCCCCACTGTGCCTCCTTGACGGGCTGGGCTCAGTCATTCATAGGATCCCTTCCAGCTCTGCAGTTCTAAGATTATTATTATCCTTCCACCTATTCTATATCTTTGCCACACTTCTCAGTTTCTTCTTTCTAGACTTTCTTCATTTTCTCGCTGTTGCTAGTTCTTCCACTCCCCCTGATCCCTAACCCTAAAACTGCCCCTTCCTTTGTTCCTTCCTTTCTATTCTCCTTCCGTATTTTCTTCTTTAGTTACTTCTCTCTCCCTCGTGTGCCTTACCCTCCAGCCCTTGCCTCACCCACTCATCATTTTGGACTCCTTGCCCTTGCTGTGGTGTGCCACTTTATTTTATTTTGAATTCGGTTTATGGATTACCGAGAACTGATGGAAAGTGTGAAGGCAAGGGGAGAAGGGGACGACAGAGGACGAGATGGTCGGACAGTGTCATCGAAGCGACCAACATGAATTTGACCGAACTCCGGGAGGCAATGGAAGACAGGAGGGCCTAGCGTGCTCTGGTCCATGGGGTCATGAAGAGTCGGACACGACTAACTAACAAAAATTACCTGGAGGCAAATGTGTTCATTCTAGAGTCAGAGATGGGTGCTGGTGTTCTGAAAGTCAAATCAAGTATGTCCTTCCCTGCTTCTCCTTATATTTCCTTCATACACTGTTTTTTAAAATCTCTTCCATTTCTCTCTCTCCCCTTGTTTTTTTTCAGTACTTGAAATTGAGCCTTTGTTCACTGATGATGAATGTTGGCATCTTGCTGTTCAATTCCATCTAGAATGTGCATACACATTTTTGAATTATTATGAGTATAAAAAAGCCAAAGAACACTTCCTCACAGCTAAAGACACAACTAAGTTACAAATTGAATTGACAGGTACGTTTCTTTTCCACATTCTTGAACATTTGAACATAAATTGGGTTGGACTGCTTGAAAGTTCTAAAAAGGAGGATGGAGAAACAATTAAGAGGGCTAAATAGTTGATGGGTCATTTACTGTGTTGCACTCAAAAATTTATTTGTTCAATTCTATAATTTAAGGGTAATTTGTAACAATTCCTGATCCTGTTAATTTTTGCCTGTGTATCTTATGAATTTTGCCTTCTTTGTCATGTTACAAAGTTTATTTTAGATGTTTTGACAGAGTCTAAGAAATGCTGTCACAGCTTCACAAGTGTATCGACAGAACTAGAATCTGCATATATTTAGAAGTGTTTCTGTCCGGCTTTGTAACCCAGGGGTGGAGAAACTGCAGCCTCCAAGCCCCCACCAACCCTCACTGTGGATTTTTGTCACCCCTGCAACTCCCTACTTTTGTTTTACTTAAAAAGGTACCAGATGCCCTCTAGAGGGCGCAGAAGGTTCTTTGGCTACATATTCACCCTGCCAGTCTGTTTTAAGCTGGAAGAGAGACTTCCCCTCCACCCCCAAGTGGGAAATGATTTCCAGTTGTTCCGAGTTTTGAAAGAAGGTTTCCTGTATGCCTAAGACTGTCAAGAGCATGCACATAAAGAAAAAAAATATGTTGGGGGGGGTTTGGAGAAGGTAATTCAAGGCTCCAAATGAACCTATTTGTCATGGGAATATAAACGAAGGTAGTTGTATTGGTCAGTGATAAAACAAAATCAAAATCCACAGATAGGTAATATCTTTACGAGGGCCAACTAAAATTCCATATTCAATCAGCTTTTTGAATTTTCCTGCTTCTTCTCCCCTCCTATAATTTTTTATACCATGTAGAAATCAAAAACATGCATACATTTGTGGAATTTTAATCATGCCTGCTGGTAGATTTTGGAATTTCAGATAGTTCTTATGGGGGTAATGCCCGCATATGTACTGTGTTTCCCCAAAAGTAAGACAGGGTCTTATATTAATTTTTACTCCAAAAATGCATTGGGCCTTATTTTCAGGGGAAGTTTTATTTTTTCATGTCCAACAATCTACATTTATTCAAATACAGTGGTGCCTCGATTTACAGCCATCCCAACTTACGACCATTTCGAGTTACAACCAGCTCCGGCTGCAAAATTTTGCTTCGACTTGCGACCGGAGCTTTGAGTTACAACCAGAAAAAAGGCAGGGAGAAAGGTGGGGGATTCAAACTGCTAACTGTTGGTGGTGAAGAGGCTGCTTCTTTGTAGCTCTTCTGCCCCAGCGGTCAGAGAATGTAGATTCGGAGGAGGCTTCGGTCTGCCTGGTAAGGTGCTGCTTTTAGCTTTTTAAAGGCTGACTGTTTTGGGTGGGTTTTTCAGCATGGGTTTGGGCTGGGTGGTGGGGTTATGTTTTTATGCTGTGATGGGTCTTGCAGTCTTCGTTTTTTGTGTTTTTTCCGCATTTCCGATCAGTCTTGCAGTCTCTGCTTTTTGGTTGGTTTGGTTTGCATTTCTTATGGGTCTTGCAGTCTATGTTTGCTTTTTGGTTGTTGTGGGGTTTTTTGCATTTCCGATGGTCTTGCAGTCTCTGTTTTTTGGGCTTTCCCCCCCTTCGGTCGGAACAGATTAATAATGTTTCAATGCATTCCTATGGGAAATGGTGCTACGACTTAACGACCATTTCAAGTTACGACCATATTCTGGAATGGATTAAGTTCGTAAGTCAAGGCACCACTGTACAATCATGTCATCTTTTTCTGGTTGCTGCACAATGGTGGAGGGCGGGGTTTCACTTAACTGGGGCTTATTTTTGTGGTAGGTCTTATATTAGGAGCATCCTGAAAAGTCATACTAGGGCTTATTTTCAGGTTAGGTCTTATTTTGGGGGAAATAGTTTTTTTTCTTGTAACTCCCTCTGTGGGAGTGTCATTGGTGATAAAAATGTTTCCTGGAGAAGCAATTTGCTGCTGTGCTTTGTAAATAGCCTTGATGGCAAGCTTGGCTTTGGGAACGCGCTGGCTATGTGCAAACTGTTCAGCACTACAGATTATGTTAAAAATTAACTCCAGGTAGTAAATGTAGCCATACTGACCAAGCATACTGGCCCTGAAGGTGACAATATCTATTGGAGGTCCATGTCTAAAAGGAAAGCATAGCCTCAAGGGATTCTGGCTAACTTCTCTGCAAACAAAACTACATGTAAGAGACTAGGGTTTCTGGCAACCAGTGCAGTCTACCATGTGGAGGGGCTTCGGAAAACCATGTGGTTTCCTTCAGTAAAGCTGTGTTTGAGAACTACAAGAGATGTCTGCTGAGATGATTGCGGTGGGTGAAAAGATTAGAAGATTTAATGAAAAATTATAAGATGTTTGCAGCAGCTAGAACATTGGCTCCTGGCCTTGGATCCCCAGATGTTCTTGGACTACAACTCCCAGAAATCCTGGCCAGCACAGCTAGCAGTAAAGGCTTCTAGGAGTTTTAATCCAAGAACATCTGGGGTCCCGTGGTTGGGAACCAATGAGCTAGAAAGTAGAAATTCAGAGCAAAAAACCCCCCAATGACCTCTGGTGGTGATTCCTTCTTTCTAGTAAGATGTTGCTTTCGTTTATGAGATTGAGAAGGTAGGGCATACATTTTCTTTTTATCTCTCGGGTTGGGGTGTAGGGAAAGAGGAGTATGCGAATATTCCTGATGTGCTCTCCATCTGTGGGGGGCAGTACTGGCAGCATGTGAGAGGATAGTTGCTGCTGCTTTCACAGCTCTCAAAGGAAAGTGCGGCCCTATACAGTGGTGCCTCGCATAACGATGTTAATTGGTTCCATTAAAAACATCGTTATGTGAAAACATCGTTAAGTGAAACACCATTTCCCATAGGAATGCATTGAAAACCGGTTAATCCGTTCCAATAGGAGCCTATTCAATACATTTCAGTGGTGAAAAAAAAATCACCAGAAATTCAAAAAGACTCAGAACGAAGCCAAATTACTTTAACGAATGTTTTATTAGGTGCACTAATGATTCCAGGCATTTTAAACATTTTTTAAACATTTTAGAATATTTTTAAAATAGCGAAAACAGGGCTGTCAAAAAAAACGTTAAGCGAAACAGGGGACCTAAAACTGTCATCGTTAAGTGAAGCAAGGTCCCAAACATCGTTATGTGAAAATCCCCCATAGGAAACATCATTAGGTGAAGCGGCAAAATTTCCAGCAAAGGCCATCGTTATGCGAATTCATAGTTGAGCGAGGCACTTGTTAAGTGAGGCACCACTGTATTTTATATGCAGTCACTGTCCAAAGTCGCTGCTGTGTGAACTAGCTCATTAGTCGCTATCTTCTAGCAGCTTAGCCAAATCTTTTGTCCTCCAGATGCATTGGATCACAATTCCGCTCATCCCCAGCCAGCAGAGCCATTGCCCCATAATCTGGATGGCACCAGGTTGGACAAGGCCACTCACACTGTTTCAGAGTTTCGTATAATCTTCAGTATCACCTGGCTGCTTGGTAGTTCTCTCTTTTCCAGCTGATTGCTTGGGCATTTGTGCTGATTTATATTTCGATCGTCCTTTTTTCACCTCTACGTCTTTCCTCTTGTTTTGCCTTTTAACTTGCATGTTCTGTGAATAGTTATATGATCCCAAGGAGTTGCCAACGTTGTGAGATGGGTTTTATGACTTACAGCTGTAGAGATGGGGTACAGAAGAAGGAATTGAGCAGGGAGCTTTTTGAGCAAGGCCTTTACACAACAAAATGCAGCTGTGCTTTTTTATAAACATGAATTGGTTGAGAGCCTGTCTCCTTTGATCTCTTGTTGGGCTTGGTATTTGTGATTTTATGCGCATTAGGCCTCCCTGAGCTACAAAGTGTTACACTGTCATTTACAGTTCTTAAATGGAAGAGAGATGTTCATTTGCAAGTGAATTATATAATGGGAAATGGTTGTTTCTTTAGGATCTGCAAGGCACTGTTGCGATGAAAATTATGCGATATTTTGCAGAGAAATAAGAGTACATCATCCTTGCCTTTTAGAACCTAAGCTTCCATAATTCTTTTTGGCTGTTTCTAATGTGCAAAAGGTGAGCAGAGATCTGCTGACCTGGCACGTCTGCTTAAAGAAGCACTTATGGGAACACTAGCATGCGCACCATAGGAAAGAGGAGTCATAGCTCTGCAGGAGAGCACGTGATTTACACGCTCAGGTCCCAGTTTCTCCTTTCCTAAGATCACATTGGAGAACCAGACCTGCTTGGGAAAGACCACAGCGCACGATATGGACCAGCAACCTTAGTTCCATTCTTGTGGTCTTTCTTCTCCGGCACTTATAAGGGTTACCATTTGCTCTCAAGTTAAAGGCTGCTAACAAATTCCCCCCTCAGTGCTGCCTACTTATAGAAGGTCACTGTTGATATGACCATTTATGCCTTGGTAGTAAGCATATACGTAGCTAGTTTAATGAAAACTTAAAACCCACTGGTAAACTTCAGTGTAGTTGTGTACCTTTGCTCTACTTATCAGATCATTAAGAGTCTATGTTCTCTTTGCCTGGGCATCTTTAGGTTGGCTATTCCTTTAAGATTTTATCTTGTGAAATGAAACATCCTGTCATTCCTTATAAGTGGTAAGAATTAGAAAACTGTCTCAGCAAGGAAGCAAACATGAAGGTGTTTGGGAGAAACCCCAGGCCCTGTGCCATCTTAGGGATCATTTTGTAAAATCCAGTAGTAACAGAGTGGTTTCAGAATGCTGAAGTCCCAGCCCCCACCCATATATAGTTTTATTGGTGAACTAGCAGGTTTATGCAGAACACTAAGTAGGGTAAATATTAAAATTTGCATAACATTTTTCTTTGCCTAAAAACTTTTCCTGAGTCTTCCAGCTGGAAAGTCATTGCTCTTAATAGAATTCTCCTCACGGAAGTAACCTGTGAATTCATGCCAGAAAAGAAAGGCATGTGAATTGTACAACTTAATCTTAAAGAACACGTAGCACCTGCTGTACTTTAAATTATTTAGTGTGTTGATGTCAAATGGTGAGTTATGCATAACTTTCCAAGAGTGTCATAAACTTAACGCTTAGCACTTTATAACTCTACATGGTTTGAATGTGATTTATTCTGTGGTAGCTTAGCTCCTAAGATACCTGGAACAATATTGCTGAATATCTTAGGGGCATTTCTATATTATTACCATAGTTTGGATCTGGTTCACATTGATCAACAGGTTTAATGAGATTCAGTCCTAAACCAGACGTGATATTAAATACATCTTCCTATTTAACTTGCATTTTTGTGTGTGTGATGTAAATAGCATATGGTTCCAATAGGGATCTCCTCACAATAAAGTAGCTTACGAGAAGGGATATCTTTCCCCGCTCAGGACCACAGCAGGGGTGCGGAAGGTTAAATTTCCCCTTCATATTTGCTATGATCATGATAAATAATTCATGCTACTCATGTTTTAAAAAAAGAATGCATATTCAGCAGGTCTAATTTGGCCCTCAGTTGGCTAATTATTTCTGAGATGAATGACAATAAATAGTAAAGTCTTGAAATTTTTAGTCTTCAACATACTTACATATTTCTTTTGTTAAACTTCGGTCCACAAGGTGTCTTCAATCGATGTCATCCTAGGATTTAGGAAGGCCACATGCTCTGTGACCACCACTGTCCATGCATTGTTGATTACAACCCTTCTGGGCTCATGTCTTCCTAAATTGTTTAATTTCCCTTTCCTGTGATTGATTTCTAGTCCATTCTTCTATGACTTGCACAATTCCTGCTCCCTGGTCTTGCATAAGAGTGGTCGACCAGACCAGATGGGCGGGATATATATATATATAAATAAAAATAAATAAATAACCTCTCCTTGCTTCCAGGATTTGCCTCCTGTGACCTTGTTGCTTGGCTTATATGAAACTAATCTTTGTTTATCGATTCAACCATAAAACTTAGTGTTGAATAGAATCCCTATTATTTTTAGCTTTGTGAACGTCTATAGTACAGCTCCTCTATACATTGCAAAAACAATATAAGACATTTTGGACTACATAGAAACCCAAAGAAATGAAGTTTCTCAGTCTACTTACATTATTTTTGCGTTGACAATTGAGTCTGCCCATGTGGTCCAAAAGTGTACGGTTACCTATCAGCTGTTAGAAGCAACGCCTAGTAGATTTCAGTTTTAGGGAAGGAGGCTTAGTAAATACCAAAAAAATCTGTGGGTATATTTGTGGTTTCAGTGATAGAATAGAGATGTTATTTTGGAGGCAGCATTCTGATTAGTGAAGTTAAATGGGACTTCCCAATGCCTAGGAGATTTATGGCTGTAGCATCAATGTGAGCTAATGAAGGGCCTTGTGGTAGAAGTGCTTGAGTACTGTGGGTGGAAGGAAGAAGCCATATTTTATCATAGTGATGTTATGTCAGTAAAATCAAGGCCAAGAAAGACTGAAATTGATGTCTTCCAGCTCGGTTTGGACTTGATCATTAAAAAGAATGGTAGCATCCAAAATTAACAACAGTGGAAGACGTTGAGGCAGGATATTAAGAGCTGAACAATTTTGTTTTAATGCAGTTCCTGTGCTGATTTACAACTAAAGTGAACAACTTCATCTTTGATGCTTTTGTGGGCTGGCTTGTAGTAATTGGCATAAAAACAAACTTTATGTTTAAAAACACATATACTGTAATTCTGCCACATTAAAAGGAAAAAAAATATTTTCTGTCCCGATTATGTTTGGGTTTTGAACAAGCTTTGTCAAAATAAATATTTTATAAGTTGGCTTTAAATCGCTACTCAAATAGGGCCCACACTGAAGCAGCGATAATTCATAATTCATTGATTTTGCAGTATTATAATTAGACAAAGTTATATTCCGTGCCTCGTAAAGTAATTAAAATTTGAACATCTTTTTGAAACTGTGTGATTAAAAATAGTCTGAAATGTGTTTTAACTTCTATGATTAAACATGAAATGTACAACATTTCACTCATAGATGTGTATTGTACCTACTGATCTTTTGTGTGAAGATCTATGCTACAAATTTTAACTGCAAGTGGGAGATGATTTGTTAGAACAATTATTTCAAACTGGAATTTTATAAAATTACTGTTTTTTCCAGGAGCATAACCATATTTATTTTAAATATTCATTAATTTAGTTTGTATATCATTTTTTTGAAAAATGGCACCCCACCTAGCTACCAGTAAAAGAAGCAATAATTAAGTAAACACCAGTACAGTGCCAATGTAAAAACAGAATAGGAACATACCCTATGTCTCAACACTCTTGGCAGGTACAGTAAAACCAACAGAGTCTTGTAACAACTCAGTGGTTTAGGTGTCTGGCTGTAGTTGGGAGTTCCATTCCCCACAGTGCCTCCTTGACAGTAGCTGAACTCTGTGATCCATAGGGTCCCTTCTAGCTCTGCAGTTCTAAAGTGATGATGATGGCGATGATAATGTAAGCTTTCATAAATATTGTCCAGTTCATCAGACATGTGCATTCCTACTCCACTTAAAACAGATGTTATTTTCTTCTTTGAAATTGGTGGTTATGCTGAGATTCTGTCAGAATCTTTGAAAACTATTTTGAGAGCCAAGATAGTACCCAAGCATTATGCATTCCCACATCAGAAGTCTCTCATAGAATCATAAATTCGTCGTAGGGTTGGAAGGGACCTTGGAGGTCTTCTAGTCCAATCCCCTGCCCAAAGCAGGAGACCTCATACCATCCTGGACCTCATACCATCGTGGACAGATGGCTGTCCAATCTTTTCTTGAAAACCTCCAGCGATGGGGCATCCACAACATACAGAAGCAAGCTGTTCCACTGCTTAATGGTTTTCACCATCAGGAAATTCCTCCTTATTTCCAGGTTGGATCTCCCTCTGACGAGTTTCCACCTATTGGTTCTTGTCCTACCCTCAGGCGCAATGGAGAATTAATTTAAGTCTTCTTCTCTGTGACAGCCCTTCAGATATTGGAAGACTGCTATCATGTCTCCCCTCAGTCTTCTCTTTGTTAATCTAAACATACCTAGCTCTTTTCATCGTTCTTCATAGGATTTAGCCTCCAGTCCCCTTATCATCTTCGTTGCTCTTCTCTGCACCCCTTCCAGGGCCTCAGTGTCTCTTTTGTATTGTGGTGACCAGAACTGGACACAGCACTCCAACTGCAGCCTCACCAGCGCGGTATAGAGTGTGGTACTATCATTTCCCATAATCTTGATGCTATCACCCTGTTGACTCACCCTTAGGCACACTGCTGACTTATCCTTTGGCAACTGATTGTGCACACAAGTCTGAATTTGCCTAGAGAGCATTTGAAGAGAAGCTTGTTCAGGTTTTATCCACATTTACAGGCATGGCAAATTGTCTTTGCCAGTTCCAGTTCAAGCACATAAAAAATGCTGCTAGCCAATGCCACATGTCATCTGTAGTGCTTCTTTAGCAATTGCCTAAACTTAGATTTCCTTGAGAAATCTAATAGCCGGTAGTGCTTCTTTAGCAATTGCCTAAACTTGAGTCCAGGGCAAGACTTCTGTTCCTTGAAAAATCTAATAGCCATTGTCTCACATTTTTAATTGTTGCAGTTGTGCTTTTTAAAGCTTAACTAGCATCTTTGGCAACATTAATCCAATGAGACCTTGCTTCATGTTCTTTTAAGAAAAATCTTACACATTGAATTAGCTTTATTAGTTTAGGTTACTTTCAACCCCCATCTCAAAACAAATGAGGCTTTGGAACTACTAATTGATGCACGAGGTGACAGCAGTGGAGATGAAGACAGATGACATGGGCAAAGTGGTAGAGTAGGCCAATAACTTTAAAACAGATGTTTTTAAAATGTTTCTCAATATCTGCAAAAGTATAAGATTAAAGCGGGCTATGATCTAGTGTGTTTTAAACCATAAAATCATAGCAGTAGAAAAACATGCAAATTAGTCACATGTTTAGTTGAATAAAAGCAGGCTGGTGCCAAGTTCATGGTTAGTCTAGGTTCTAGGTAGCCCTAGGAAAAAGCATTTCATGTGAGTCCTGACAGCCAAAAAGCTTCCATTAGTCACTGCCTACATTACTTGGATGGCCAAGGGCACCTGGAGGATGTTTTTTGATTAGTGATCTTCATACAACAGGTGGCAAGGATATGTACAAAGAGGTGGGCCTTCAGGATTCTAAACAATATAAAGGATTTAAAAAAAAAATTGGTTATTTTTGAAACGTCTTCTGTGACCGAGGCCTTATCAAATGTGTTTATAACTTTAGTTATTTTCTTTGATTAACTACCTGTGCTGCTTATATTGTATAACAAAAGGGAACTGTATATGAATACTACTGTGTGTCATGCATATTACCTTATCTATTAATTTGATATTTTTATCCTTTCTTTCCTTTGTTGTGGAGCACACAATGGCATACCAGGAGGTTTCCAGACCATTTTCTACCCGGGCAGTGCCCATATTCAGAGCTGTTTAATTTTAGCAAGGATATTCAGAATGTGCAGATCATCTGCAGACTATTTAATATGTATAAAGCCACACATTTGTGTCTCTTTAAAGTCCTAATTCAGCCTTTAGTCTGCCAGCTGTTTGAGGCTGAAATTCTCACCATCATTTGGCATTGGCTATGCTGCCTAGAAGTTCTGAAATCCAAAATGTTTGGAGAACCAGATGGTCCTTATCCATCCTTTAAACCAGTTGTCCTCAACCTTGGATCCCCAGATGTTCTTGGATTGCAACTCCCAGAAATCCTGGCCAGCACAGCTGGTGGTGGAGACTCCTGCGGGTTTAGTTTAAGAACATCTGGGGACCCAAGATTGGGAACAATTGCTTTAAACTATCCGTACTGTATTTGTGACACAGTTCATTTAACCATAATGGTTTTGTGCAGGTGCTCTGGGAAAAAGGACAAGATTTCAGGAAAAATATGTAGCCCAACTCATTCTGGATGTTCAAAGGAAAGATAATATACTCCTTCCACACCGTGAGCTTAGTCCAGCACCTACCCCGCTCGAAGATTTAACTAAGGTACAGTGTATTATTTTTCAAATGTAATGCAGTGTGCTGCCCGACAGTTGTACAGGCCAACATATTTGCCTGTATCTGTTTGTGTATGTGATGGTTGTACTCTTACCTAAAGGATAAGTGGATTTTTTTGAAACAGAGACATCATAGTGCCTTTTAAGTTACATATTTATATTTACATACTTTATATCATGTAATGTTCTTATTTTGTTGGGCAGTGCTAATATTGAGTTAAAAATATTATTCACTGTGAGAATACAGCTATAAAACTTCGTGGATTATAATAAGAACGTGCCTAGATCTTAATGGATCACTTTAATGTTGGCATCTAATATATTTTGTTCATCAACAGTAGCTCACTTAGAAGCTACTGCCATTTTGCTTCAAAAAGGATGATGGGAAACTGCCAGCACGCTTCTCTGCTGGTTTGACTTGTTTATGTTAATTGGGATGTTTGAATGGACATTTAACTCAAGTAAGTTTTGGATAAAATTCTGAAACAGTGTAAAATGTGCTTAGAGAATATTTGCATAGACTAAATATGGGATGTAACCATCGAAGAATTTCTGTATAGGCCCTTCAGGTGTTAAGAAGTTGTGTACAGCTTTGCAACATGAAACATACTACAGTATTCCATGAAGAAATGAATATACAGTGGTGCCTCACACAACGATGTTAATTGGTTCCAAAAAAATCAACGTGGTGTGAAACATCGTTCTGTGAAACACCATTTCTCATAGGAATGCATTGAAAACCGGTTAATCCGTTCCAATTGGAACGGATTGCCATCGTTCAGTGAAAATCCCCATAGGAAACATTGTTGAGTGAAACAATGTTTCCTATATTGGAATGTATTGAAGCCGACTCAATACATTTCAATGCCTTTGCGAAGTCCTTTTTCGCTCCTGTAAAAGTGTCTTACAATGTTTGGAAGCTGTTTTAAATGATTGCAATGGTTAGTCCACCTCCTGAAACCTATGCAAACTGATTTTGGTGTTGTTCTGACACTTCGTTAATTTATGATGATTTTTTGTTTTTTCCATTGGAAACCATTAGACAGACCATCCAATGGTTTCCAATGGAGAAAATTCAAAAAATCATCATAAATTAACGAAGTGTCAGAACAACACCAAAATCAGTTTGCATAGGTTTCAGGAGGTGGACTAACCATTGCAATCATTTAAAACAGCATCCAAACATTGTAAGACACTTTTACAGGAGCGAAAAGGGAGATCGTTGTGTGAAAATCCCCCATAGGAAACATCGCTGTGTGAGGCAGCAAATTTAACAGAAAAAGGCATCGTTGTGTGAATTCATCGTTGTGTGAGGCACTCGTTGTGCGAGGCACCACTGTACAGTTTTATTATTGTGGTCTGTGCCTTTATATCCTTTCAGTGGTTCATAACTAGAGTTGCAAGTTGTTCAGTCATTTTATTTGCTCTACATTATCTCCACTTCCCCATCCTGATCTTCCTATGTTCCTATGTTATTTTTTCTTTCTCTCTTCTTATTCTATTTTGCTAACTTTTAATCCAATTGTATTAATGTATTAATTGTATTTTATGATTATTTATATTTTATATTGTCCTATTTTATGTTGTAAGCCGCCCCGAGTAGACATGGTCTAGAGGGGCGGGGTGTAAATTTAATAAATAAAATAGATAGATAGATAGATAGATAGATAGATAGATAGATAGATAGATAGATAGATAGATAGATAGATAGATAGATAGATAGATAGATAGATAGATAGATAGATAGATAGATAGATAGATAGATATGTTTAAAACTACAGTGGCGCCTCGCATAGCGATCGCTCCGTTTAGCGATGAAATAGCTTTGCGACACATTTTTTACGATCGCAAAAGCGATCATTTTGCGATGTTCCCTATGGGGGAATTTCCTTTTGCGATGATCGGTTCCCTGCTTCAGGAACCAAGCATCGCAAAATGATGATTTTACAACAGCTGATTGGCGGTTTCAAAATGGCCGCTCGCTATTTTCTGGGATGGATTCCTCGCTTAAGAGGCAGCGAAAATGGCCGTGCTATGGAGGATCTTCACTGAACGGTGAGTTTTAAGCCCATAGGAACGCATGAATCAGGTTTTAATGCGTTTCTATGGGCTTTTTTATTTCGCATTGTGACGTTTTCATTCTGCAGCAATTTTTGCGGAACGAATTAACGTCGCAATGCGAGGCACCACTGTATTGCTTTTATGTGCATCAAAAAAGGCATAGCAGAACTTACCCAAATTTTGGTAGTATTTTGTCATTTGTGTAAGTATGCTAGTATATAAATTTGAGTCCCTTGATATGTGGAAAAGACAGCTGAACATTGGGAACTTAAAGCTATGACCTTAACATCTATTAGGACCACTTTTAACTGTTTGAAGAAGGGAATACATCTAGAAAAAACCAGAATCCTCTAAATCATTTTAATATTAATAAACATAGTAATCTTAATTGCTGAACTTTTGTAGTGAAAATTTGTGCATGTTTACTCAGAAGGACATTCCAATGTGTTTGGTGGTACTTGATAGCTTTTAAAGTATGCCTAGGATTTTAATTACAGTTTTAGAAGTTTTTTTCTCTTTATTTTTTTAATATAATATCCCATAGTGTTTAAAGTTGCTTTAACTGATGAGGAACTACCTTGAATTCATGCTGAAAAGTGGCATGCTAAAAAAACAAACAAAGAAATAAGCAAACAAACAGGATATAACTGATAACTTTTACTGGGGGGAATTTTTTTCCTTTTTTTACACCAGGTTAATGAAATACAAGGAAATATCTTTTAGTCTGTAACTTAGTGTATAAAGCTAATTTCCACAAGCACAAATAATTTGTAATTTGGGGAGTTTTCCCAAAAGCTGCTGCTCGTTCAGCTCCTTCACTATCCCATTCTCTTTATGTGTTGAATTGTGTCTTTTTCTGCATCCATGTGCGTTTATGCATGCATGTTCAAAAGTTTATTTATTTATTTAACTTATGTGCCTCCCACACTACCCAAAGGTCTCTGGGCAGCTTACAACATTTAAAATACAATAAAAAGACAAAATAATTAAAATGCAATTAAAATATATACTCTAAAAATTGCCATTGCACCCACGTCGTAGTCGTTTAGTCGTGTCCGACTCTTCGTGACCCCATGGACCAGAGCACGTCAGGCCCCCCTGTCTTCCACTGCCTCCCGTAATGGTGTCAAATTCATGTTGGTTGCTTCACAGACACTGTCCAGCCACCTCATCCTCTGTCGTCCCCTTCTCCTCTTACCGTCACACTTTCCTAACATCCAGGACTTTTCCAAGGAGTCTTCTCTTCTCATGAGATGGTCAAAGTACTGGAGCCTCAGCTTCAGGATCTGTCCTTCCAGTGAGCACTCAGGGTTGATTTCCTTTAGAATTGATAGGTTTGTTCTCCTTGCAGTCCAGGGGACTCTCAATAGCCTCCTCCAGCACCACAATTCAAAGGCATAAATTCTTCGGTGGTCAGCCTTTTTTATGGTCCAGCTCTCACTTCCATACATCACGACAGGAAAAACTATAGCTTTGACTATTCGGACTTTTGTTGGCAAGGTGATGTCTCTGCTTTTTAGGATGCTGTCGAGGTTTGTTATCGCTTTCCTCCCAAGAAGCAGGCGTCTTTTAATTTCGTGGCTGCTGTCTCCATCTGCAGTGATCATGGACCCACAGCTGATATTATTTCAATCAAAAGCCTTCTGGAACAGGAAGGTTTTGACCTGGCGCTGAAATGTCATCAGCGTCGGCACCAGACAAATGTCAGTCGGGAGGGTATTCCATAGTCTGGGGGCAGCTGCCGAAAAGGCCCTTTCTCTACAAGCCGTCCCTCTTACCTCCTTAAGGGACGGCTCTTTCAAAAGGGCCCCCTGGCTAGATCTTAACTGCTGGGTAGGTTCATATGGAAGGAGGCGGTCCTTCAGGTATCCAGGGCCCAAGCCGTTTAGGGCTTTATATGTCAAAGCAAGCTACTTCTAAATAAATGCCAATCACCTGACAAAGTGGTTTTCAAACTTTCTACCTTATGGAATATGTTTCACATTGGCTTGATGGCTGCTCTAACCCCCAAATGTTACCTGCAGGTGTTTGTTGCTGACGTCTTGAATATTGCTTAAAACAGAAAAAGGGGAAACAGGCCTTTAAAAGTAAACATATTGCAGGGGAATTTTAGTATTGGTGAACAGACAGACATTGTGAAGGCATCCACTTGTACCACAGCTGTAGTAAACATAGGTGACTATGAGCAAGGGTTTATAAACATTTTCAGCGAAACAGATTTATGCAACTCCTAGAATTGGGAGCCAGCCTCATTTGGGGGTGGGGGGCAGGCTTACTCATTTATCCACATTCTGACACCACTTTGAATGTGCTTATAGTAAAGGTGATTATCAGCCTGGCACTACAATTTTTCAAGGAATCTTCTTTGCCACTTTTGAATATTTTCACAGAGGATCTCCTCATAAGGATCTTCCAAAGAATCTCAGGATTTCCTAGAGTGCTTTTCAAAAACTGCTAACTTTAACAGTTTGGGATGATAGCTGGAGCATTTATTTCTAAACTGTTCTGTTCCTTCAAATAACATACTTTCTTCATTCATACTTGTTTCAACTATCCTACTATTTAAAAAAAGAAAAGAAAATTGTTAATACAGTTGCTATTCTGCTAGCTGAGAAAATCTTTCCTACTGACCTATGAAGTTTAAGATTTATACTTCTGGCAAAGTTAAAACTGAGGCTGATGTTCAAGATTTTGTGTTTTTGGTATTATTACTACTGTAAAGTCCAAACAGATGAATAATCTGTTTGAATTATCTGTTTGGGCACTTCATCATTCATGTACATTTCCCAACAGAACTATGCGTTAAATGATGACACTCTGTTAAATGAAATAAAGTTTGAGGAATCTCATCAGAACCAGATGCCTGACTTGTGTGCAGAAGAGCTTGCTGTTATCCTTGGAGTTTGGTAAGAGGCTGTTCTGTTCCACCAATCCCTTTTCTTAAATGCCTGTATATAGCACAAATACTGTACTGCATTTACAAAATTTTGGGTGGAAACATTTTCAAGGGAAATGAAGGAAACTCCACCCATGGATTGATCCTGCAGAGCAAAACAGAGATCTGGGAGCAACAGGGAGATGTCCATAGTACAGGCAATGTTTTTTCAGGCCTGTTTTACTTAAACAGTTCTTTGGAATTAAGAAGGAATTATATATAAAAGATGTTCAGTTCTTCTCCCTCTTATGTAAATTTTGATAACGTGTGTTTCGAGGTATAGGCATTTTATGATTTGCAGATCCAGTGACATATGTAGCAAATAAGATATAGGTTACTTTTGCTTCATTGATTTGTGATAGTTCATATGGTTTTCTAATTTTAACAGATCTTTGGACATTACCATTCAGAAATGCCCAGAGTAACAATACAGAATGCAAAAAATACAAAAAATTAATGCTCGGAATATGATTTCTTTTACAGCATAGACTTTCAAAAGAACAACCCAGTCCATAAGCTTACAGAAGAGGAACTGCTTGCTTTTACATCAGTAAGCTATTTATTTATCCTTAATTTTTTTTGGAATTCTGTTTAATTCTTTCTTCTTTCAAGTGGGTATTGCATGAATGAAGAAGAGTGTCCTCCAACTTTATTATTCCTTGAGGGAGGGGTGTGGAAAGGACTTTGGCTCATGTAAAATAGCATGTGTACAAACATTTCCACAGTATTGGGAATCCTTCATGAGGGAAGGATCTGGTCTTACACTGTTTCTGCATGCTAGGAACAGAAGCCTCTGCATTAACCTCTGTTCAAGACTATCCGGACAGGGTGGCCATAATCTACACCATTCTGCCCCAGACGTGTGCATTCAGATGCACACTGCAGAGTTAGCACTACTTTCCATACTATTCTAAAAAGCCTCACAAACTGTCAGAGCAGATTCTTCATGGGGCGAAAGAAATTGCCTCCAATTATGTGGAAGGAGAGAATAATTGAAAATCACCCTCATTTCACCAGGAGAAATACTCTGCTGGATCAGAAGCCTTTGGTGGGGGCCAAAAATAGAGCACATTTTGTGCTAAGGGATTTATTGAAAAAACATTGAACCAGAATTGCTTATATTTTTATATTAGTTGCATAACATTATGTTCTTAGTTGGAATATAGCATGTTGTTACAGTGCTGGTGATGTTTTGCTGACCTTTCTCATCCTGGTTCCTTCTGATTATGTTTGACTCTAACTTCCATCATCCTCAGGCTGCATAAGTAATGGCTATGCAGGATAGGGGTGATGTGGGCCCTGGAGTTCAACACTTATGGGTATCACCAAATTAAGGGAGGCTGTTACATGGGGAAACTCTTGGTACTTAAATATCCTACAGAAATGAGCTGATGCATTTTCTCCTGTGTTGCTGAGAATAGAGTTACTATCTTAATAAGCATGATATCAGAACATTCTCATCTCCTTATGGCCAAAATCTGGAGACTACCTAGTCTAGAGAGGCTTCTCTCTTTTACGGGCTACTCTGTATCTGTCAGAATGCCAATCTGTCTTTATTTACCTTGCTCTTCCCTCCCTGCTGCCTTTTCATCACTAGAGGCGTAGAACAAAAATTCTCTTAGTGAACGTAATGAATGCACTGCACTCTCTTCTCCTTAATCTAGCGGATTTTTAAAAATTATGATACCTAGAAGACCTTAGAGGCTGACTTTGTGAATTACTTTGCTGTACATCTTGAATTTTTGAGCTAATAGTCTTGTGGAGATCTCACAAGGGAAGAAATGAATTGAAATAACCATATGCCTTCTATGGCAGACATCTACCATAGTATGCTCTTTTTCATACACCATTTTATTGCCATTTCTTGAAGTTATGTACTTATCCTTTTAGCAAATTCTTCATAAAAGGAGCAAACAGTATATTATTATTCTGCCATCTAGTGGTTGATTATTTGAATATTTTACCTGTGTCTGTACTGTTGCCCAGTGAAAATCTGTTTTGGTTTATTGGTTTATTTTCAAGGAAACTACATTTCATCACCTGTGGGTGATGTGTTACATTATTCATGATGCTGCTTGCTTGTTTTAATATTGATCTAAACGTTTGTTCCTTGTGTATTTTACACTGAAATTGGTCATATGAAAGAACCTTCAAAATATCTGTGTGAACTTTTAACACTTACTGTAATGCAGGAAAACAAGCACTGAAAATACAATTAAGTTTCTAGTTGTCATATGCCCTCTGTCAGGAGCTTCCATGGCATCAGTCAGCTCTGTAAAACACTTCATTGGTTTATACAAACACTCATTGCAGAAGGAGGCTGTAAAACACTTCATTGGTTTATACAAACCAATTGGTCAATAAAGTTAAGGTTGGTATTTGACCTTTGCTCTGTTAACATCATATACACTGTTATGTGTATGTGTGAGCAGGCATCTTCTCAGCCTACATGTGGATTCCTAAATCTGCAGGCTGGTTAGATGGTTGTCATACATTCATCTGATATCTGCTTAAATATAGCTATCCTGAAGAAGGGAGGACTTTCAAGATATCTTGAAGCATCAGAATCCATACAGACTCTCTTAAAGCAAATACCACAGCATGAACATTGTAGGTCAGTGTCCTAGAACTGTGTGCCAGATCAAGGGAGATGACAATGTTTGAGGGCCCACTGATATTTAGAACTTTGTAAGTACATATATTGTTTTAAAAGAACGGTCCATATGTCCTAGGTTATTATCCTCTCCCCTTCCTTTTCAGTTGTTCTAGTTGGCTTATAGCAACTCCAGACACCACCAACTACAGTTTTCAGAAATAATTAAAATACTTTCTTGGAAAACAGCAATGGAACTTGCACAGTCCCAGCTTCATCTTTTTTGTGCATTAGATACTTCAGTTGTGGGTAAATAGCCTCAGACATTGGTTGGGGCTCCATAGTCCAAACATTTTAGAGCTAGAATTCATGTTCCAGATATTGTAGAGTCACTATTCCTAAGAAAAATATAATTGAACTGTGAAAGGATATGGTTATGGGATATTCAGAGCTGTTTAAGAAAAACAGCAGCTAAGGCACACAATTAGATTCATGATTCTAGCTTTATTCACAGTTCTGTCAAATGCTAGCTAAATTGAAAGGATCATGGTTGCTCTTTTCAAGGAATTCCAAAAGAAGAACTTCCAGTTTTTCTTGCAAACAGTAGCTCCTCAAATAGAAATTCTATTTCTAATGTTTTGAATTTTACGCTAAATAATTTAAAGAAAGCTGCGTGGTCCTTACACAGCATAAATGCAGGAGAGGCGATACCTTTATTAGACCACTAAAAAAGCTTGCTAATTGTTTGATTTTTTTTAGTGGTCCAATAAAGGTATCATCTCTCCTGCATGTATATTGTGTAAGAACCACATGGCTATTTATTTGTTTTTTTCAGAACTTTGAGGATACCACAAAAGCCACACACACACATACACTACCAGGGAGACAGAATGGAAACATCAGCCAAGCAGGACTGCACACTGAAGAAAACATCTGCTTGCGCCTGCTAGGCAACACAATTTGGCTCTAATTGGCTTCTTTTGCCTGGTGGGTAGACAGATTCTGACCTCACCATTCTTATGGAGACTGCCTTTTCCTCATCACTCCCCAACCAAACAGGAACCTTGCGATTCACATGGAAGGCAATGGGTGTATGTGAAAGACATATGCAGCTTGTTTTGGTAGTTCTTTGTCTGAAGAGCTGAGTAGCAAATTCCACCCCAAAGTTACCAGGGGTGAAGTTTGAAACCACACCCTCAAAGTGGTTTGCAGGCAGTGTTTGACTCATTTTAAGAAGTATACCAGGCAGACATCTGCCATGAATTGTTGGGACTCTCATTTTTCTGATATATCAGTGCATAGCCTGAATTTGGACCATGAAAGCTTGCTGATTGTTTGATTTTTATTTTATTTTAATTTTTTAGTGGTCTAATAAAGGTATCGCCTCTCTTGCATTTATACGGAGTAATTCTTTGCATTAAAACCTAGATGTTTCCTGAGCAGGTACTGGTTCTAGAAACATATTTAAAAAATAATATACACATTCCATGTATCTGAGGAAGTGGATTTTGACCAATAAAAGTTCACACTAAAATAAATTTGTTAGTCTTTAAAATGCCTTTGCTTCTCTTTCTCTTTTTGTTTTTCCCCTTTAATTTTTTCAACATGCTGAGGCAGACTAACATGTCTGCCTGCCTAGATAATGAGACATTTTCTGTGAGTGAGGGGCAGGAAGGTATAATGGGAAATGGGAAAGGAAAAGCCTAGATTTACGGACATGCTGCTTTAGAACTCATGTTGGACAAAACAGTTGTTGCTTTCGAGATCTTGCTGTTCAATATAGGATTCAACATATAAAATTGTCATTATGTGTCAAAAGGATTATGATGATTTATCACAACACAGAGTGAAAAAATTTGTTATAGGATTGAAGGCATAAGGTCAAGGTTTGCCAAATATAGCACTGTGCATACAACATATTTGGAGCATCCTCCAGTAGAATGTTTCAGTGATCGTAGACCAGGATTTGCCTTGTACTTCCCAGTTTCTTTGAGCAAACCCAATACATGCATACTCCCATTGGTTTCTAGTCCTTCCTCCCAAAAACCCTTGTGCCCTAAATATCTTCTCCAGAGCACTGTGAGATGTTCTGGAGCCAGTTTTGGAACCACAGAAGGCCACAGCAGGAGAAGGACTTTGAATTTCTGTACCTTCTGTACTATAAAACGAGTATTTTTCAGTTGAACTTATTTTCTGTGAGAAAGCAGACATATCCCACAGTATTTCTATTGACCAGTTGTTGAATCTCTTTGCAACCTAGTGTTCTCCATATGTTTTTGACTAAAACTCCCAGTATTCCAGACAAGCTGAAGCTGATGTGAGCTGAGGCCTAGAACAGCAAGGGAAAGTGATGAGGGGAGAGTGAGCTACAATAAAGTAGGAGAAAGGGATAAGTACCATTCTGTGCCACAGTAAATCAGTACCACATGAATCTGCTCACCTGTCTGGTTTTATGAGCAGTCAACCACCCAGTTGCATCTGTTGCTTGTTTGCCTTAATTTATGCCTTACCTGGTAACTTATCAGTGTTGTTAAATGTTTCATAGCACTCTCTTACACAACTGAATTGCTCTTGAGAAGAGAAGAGAAACAGTTAATTACCAACAGCTATGACTCATATATACTACTGCCAAACATGTCTTTCTTTTCTAACTAGTGAGGATAAACTATATGTAAAAAACCATTTCCCTGTGCAAATTACAGTTTTATAATCAAGAAAACCTGAATGTAAAGCCAGAATACCATTACTGTTCATGTAAGGTTTGCCTAGCTTGCTGCAGCTAATTGACAGTCAAGAGTTGTGTGCCCAGTTACACAATCAAGAAGGACCTTGGCTCAGTTAGCCACATTTGGCTGTGTCACGTTATGTGAAACTTATGTCTACACCAGTAGGATTTTGCCCAAAATGTATCACAAAGTTATAGTTAGGTATTAGCATGTTGGTGAGGTGTTGACATT